ATGTCTCTGCCTCTCTTTCTCTGTGTCTCTCATGAATAAATAAATAAAATCTTTATTTAAAAAAATTTTTTAAATAAAATCTTTAAAAAAAAAGAAAGGGGGACAATGGTATTGACCTCACTGGGCTGTCAAGTAGCTCAAAGAAAGATAATACTTTTAAAATCCTCAGCACAGGGCCTGCCACTCAGGGAGTTGTCAGCACCCTCTAAGTCTATTATGAGCAATCATTGGGACTTCCCCTTGGAACCTGGAGTGCTTCTATGGCCTCTAGGGCCATCTAAGGATAAGTAGCAGAGCTGACGGAGGATCAGGACCCACTGGCCTGTGGCTCTCCCTGAGGAAGCAGCCCCTTCAGTCAACTTCTTAGAGGCTCAGTTTGCTCATCACTAGAGCCACTCAGGAAGAAGAATCATCAGGAGAGGCTGCTTGGGTCCCCAGAGAGCCCTGGCCTAGCTGGCCTGGCCTGTGCAGACCCTGCTGGTGCCAGGGAGGAAACCTTCCCCAGGACTGCCAGTGCAGGGGACCCAGAGGGGTGAAGAGCCCAGAGTAGCCACAACTCCCAGAGGACCCGTCTGATAGGTTAAACCTGTGCCACAAGGGGTTGGTGGGCAGGCAGGGCCATTCCCAGTCAGCCTTCTTAGAGCTGGGCCCTGAGGTGGCAGCAGCTTAGGCCTGGAGAGGAGGCTCCCTCCTATTATGTGGGGTGTTTGCCAAAGGCAGGATCCTAGTCTGGAGCTGGGGGTTTTTATCAGCAAACACTCTTTGAGCAGTGGAGGAAGGCAAAAATAAGGAGATATACCCTAACCCTCTGCCAAATATTTTAGAGCCTACATAAAGAGGTCATGAGGAAAGGAAAAAAAAAAAATCATTGCTTTAGACAGTTTTGGTCTGAGATGCAGCTGTGAGGAATATCCACCTTCCCCAGAAAAGAGGCACCAGACCCCTCAGAGCTCTTGGCTCTTGCCTGCAGTCACCAGCAAGGGCTCTCATCACACTGGCCTTGGGAGCTCACCTGTTGCGGTTAAACTGGATGGCAAAGTCGGTCATGACCTGGAGGGCCTTGTTGGTCAGCTGCAGATCCATGGAAATGGAGCCTACCTGGCGAGTGAAGGTACCTGAAATCTCCAACCCCTTGGCCTTCATAGCTGGGAGCCACACCTACAGGGAAGACAGTGGAGAGGAGGCTCGTGTTTACCACTTCCCTAAAAGTTAACAGCAGCCCACCTGAGCACCATTCCCCGCTTCTCCCTCACCATCCCTCTCTCCCCCTCCCAGATTGAGGCCCACACCTGCCTTTACCATTAGGAGACGACCATGTGGATCTTGGGACGAGAGGAACAATCCTGCATGGCTCATCCAAGGCCACCACCACAGTGTGGCTCTGTATCAGAGCAGCCTGGGGTAGAGAGGGGCTTGGTATGCCCAAGGGTTGACCTGGACCTTCTTTAAAGGTCCAAGAAGTAACACTCAGTAAGTAGTACTGAGAAAGGAGATGAGACATGTGGACCCTGCCAGCCTCCAGAGGAGTCAAGTAGAGTTAAGAGCCCAATGGCATCTGGGGCCTCAGCCAGAGCCTGAGGCCTTCCTGGCTGTCACAGCCTGTCCTTCCTCACAGAAGGCAGGGCTGGCCTTTTAATCATGGAAACTGGGCTGTCCAAGGACAGTACCTAAGAGGACCTCTTACCTGGCAGGCCCTCTGCTGCTTGGCTGTCATGGGAGCCTCAGCTCAAGAGCTGCCTCCTCTGGGAAGCCCACACCTAGATTCCTTCCTTGCATCCATGCTACCATGACATTTTAGCAGATAAATGTGAGCCTGTGTATCTGTATCCCCTGTACCCAGTCAGCTCTTTGAAGGAAGGGATCTGCTTCTTTCTTTATTTTTTTGCTTTTCTTTCTTTACATCCTTGGCTTAGAGCTTGCTCTGCCAGTCACAAGAGAGGCATGTTGGCAGAGTGAAATATCTTGAATTAAAGCCCCAACCATGAAGGACATCAGCAGGCATCATCCATGGCCATGTAAATGCCTTTCAAGTCTTTGTTCTCTCAGATCCCTCACAGGCCCCCTCCAATGTCAAAAGGTCCAGGCCTCCTCAAGAGCTTCCCCAAGGGGCCCTGTGTTGGTGAACGTCTTACAGTCTCTCAAGGTGCTGACACCAGGAACTTCAGTGTCGTCTGGGTCCCCACTCTCAGCCAACCCCAAGCCCCATACCACAGTCATGCAGATTGGGTCCTGTCACCATTACCTCCTCCATCTGCCACCAGGGCCTCTACTTCCCTCAGCAGGCAGCACCTGCATCTGAGCCATAGTCAGAGTCCACCAGGTAAGACAGAAGCCCTTGGGGTACCCCAATCCCTGCTCTCCACAGCAGCTAAGGTCATCTTCTTCTTCTTCTTTTTTTTTTTTAATTTATTCATAGAGACACAGAAAAAGAGAGGCAGAGACACAGGCAGAGGGAGAAGCAGGCTCCATGCAGGGAGCCTGATGTGGGACTCGATCCTGGGTCTCCAGGATCACACCCTGGGCTGCAGGGGGTGCTAAACTGCTGCGCCACTTGGGCTGCCCTAAGGTCATCTTCTAAAATGCAAATGTGGGGGCACCTGACTCTTGAGCTCAGTGTCATGAGTTTGAGCCCCATGAGGGGCATAGAGATTACTTAAATAAAACTTAACTCCTCCAATGCTGTGACACTTTAATTGCCCAAAGCCTCCATGTCCTGGCTGCCCCCTCTGTCAGGCTCGACTGAACCTGCTCCTCCTCCCCCACCCCGCACTGTCCTCTGTCTGAAAAGTGCTTCCGTAGGTCCACCCACATGGTACTCACTAGCCTGATCATCCTTTGTTTTCCTGGGACAAAGGTGTGAGGGTGGAATCACAGGGCTTCAGCTTCAGCTGAGACAGGCAAACAGAGAGCTATGAGGACCCCCCACTCCCAGCACAGCCGCTTCCTGGGGCCTGGCCCCTCCAGCGGGCTGCCTCTCACAGTTCTTGCAGAACTGCCTCTGTCACTGGGACTGACTGCTGACAGTGGGGACCTCATTTCTCTTGGTCACCATGGCTTCATGGAGTCTAGCATAGGTCCTACCACAGAACTAACCCTCAACATTTACTGAAAAACCCAAAGAAACATCACCACCCACTGGTCCAAATGCTTGAGGAACTCCCAAGTTCTTATGCCAAGAAAACCTCATTCCCTTGGCCAAGAAGCTTGGAGAACATATTTACCCCCACCAGTGTGGTGGGGAGAATGAACATGGGACAAACCATTCTAGGTAGTCACAGTACTGTTAGGAAAACATAGATGACATCCCTACTGCTTCTGAAGGAAGAATGCACCTCCACTCCAGAAATTCCTGTGTCTAAGATAATGGGGAAATGGTATTGTAAGGACTCCTCTTCTAAGCAGATTGCCCTAAATTCCTCTGACTGGGTGATCCTCTAACCTCTCATTTCTAGCATTCACTGTTGGTACGCCCATCTGGCCTTCCACTAAGAAAAAGCAGTAATAATATCTATTAAAATGAACACACAAGCAAAGGGCCAGCTCCCCTGGGGCCAGTTCCGGACTTTATATTCCTGGCAGCTCTGCATCCTGGCAAGGCCTGGCATGCACAGGACTGCAGGAGTCTTTGCTGCTCTTGTCATTTGGTCCTGCCTTATGCCTGTTACACTGGGCTTTTAACATGTATCCATCGGCCTCATGCATTGAGGTAGCCCATCTGGGTAGTAATTAGTGATTCTGACAAATCAATGACGCTCAGGTACATAGGATGTTCTCAAACACTGTGGGGCATGATCATGTAGGGATCAGGAAGGGGGGCTTTGGTGCCACTCTGCATTCAGTTTCAGACTCTGTCACTTACCTGCTAGGTGACCTTAGGCAAAAGCACTCAGATTTCTCAACCTCAGAACAAGAGTAATAGCCCCGTCAGGCTTCTGGCAGGATTTAGTGGGGTGGGGGCTGTGCAGTCCACAGCATGGAAGTGTGCAGCTGCTAGCACTAGACTTGCTATCTGCCATGGGCCCTGATCATACCTGGGGGCTCTGGCCACCACCGCTGCAGGTACAGCTGGCATACCCAGTGAGGCCAGGGCAGGGCAGGTGCTGGCTCACAACTCCCCAGTCACAAGAGAGATATCACCTTGCCCCTAAAGCCCAGCTCTATTCTGCTCTGGGGAGGGAGCCTTGGAAGAGAGAGAGAGAAGCTCTCACTAAGAACTAAGTGGCAGATACCGTGTCTGACCTGAGTGTTGTGGGGAGACCAGGCCAGGTCCATCCCCTCTGGCAGCTTCCTCGATGCTGAGGGTGTGGCCCACACCACACTCTTCTTAGCGCCAGGCCCCCATGTTCTTGACTCCTAAACTCAGCTCTCCTTTCTTTCCCTCGCCCCCATTTTGGCAAATGGCACCTCCATTCCACTGCCCGAGCCAGCATCCATCCCTCCTTGCCAGCCCCCACACCCTGCCAGGCCCACCTCCCAGTGCAGTCTACTGCCTCCAGCCTCAAAGGCGCCCTTCTTGTCCAGGCGCCATCAGCACACATCAATTCCTATTGGCCTCCTCACTGGGTACTTCACTTCTATCCTACCCCTTCCAATCTGCCTCCACAGTGTAGGCAAAGCAATCTCTCTTCAGTATAAATGTTTCACTTCTGCTTAAAACCCTTTTTTTTTAAAAATATTTATTTATTTATTTACTTATGAGAGAAAGAGAGAGAGAGAGAGAGAGAGAGAGAGAGAGAGGCAGAGGGAGAAGCAGGCTCCATGCTGGGAGCCAGACATGGGACTCGATCCTGTACTCTAGGATCGTGCCCTGGGCCAAAGGCAGACGCCAAACCGCTGAGCCACCCAGGGATCCCCCCACTCCCTTTTTAAAAAGATTTTATTTATTTATTCATGAGAGACACAGAGAGAGAGGGGAGAGAGGGAAAGCGGGGGGGGGGGGGAGAGGGAGGGAGGGAGGGAGAGGGAGAGAGAGAGAGAGAGGCAGGCAGAGACACAGGCAGGGGAGAAGCAGGCTCCATGCAGGGAGCCTGAAGTGGGACTCGAGATCCCGGGATTCCAGGATCATATCCAGGGCCGAAGGCAGGTGCTAAACCACTGAGCCACCAAGGGATCCCCTGCTTAAAACCTTTTAATGGTTTCATTGCACCAGGACTGAGGGAAACCCTCACAGCCTGGCAATGCTGATTTTGCCAGCTTCTTCCCTCCTTAATCTATAGTCTAGGTGGGAGTCATGGAGAGTACTAGCTCTAGGTAGCACAGTGGGATCTGGATCTGGATGGCATCTATGGGCATCTTCAGGTGGCACAATGGCAAGGAGGCATGACACTTAATGGGCCAGGGTCAGGGATGCTGGACATGTTGCCGGGAGGACAACAGTCCCATCACTGAGCCATTGTCCTGCATCCCTTTGAGTATGTCTTGCATGGTTTCAATATATCCTGAAATTGGTGGGAACCTAACTATGGGGAAACTAAAAAAAAAAAAAGCTTATTCTCTGTTTTGTTTTATTGGAACTTCACTGGGAGTCAGTCACCATTTCAGGAACTAAGGGCACCACCAGTCACATTGTTTATAGCTATTGTTTATAGCACTCGAGCTACGAACACTATGTGTGGCCATCGTGTGGACTCTAATGTGCCTACACTGGACGACACCAGATCTTTCAGGGTGGGTATACCTAAGCCTTTACAGTTGAAATATAGAAGTATATTCCTCTTTCATGAAGTGATAGTATCTTTCTGATTCTGAAGTGATAAGTATAGGTAGGCTGCACAGTCCACAAATCTCCTTCAAGAATTGGAAATAAAGGTCCTTTCCGGCGGTGACGACCTCCCCACGAGAACATGCCCCTTGCAAAGGATCTCCTGCACCCGTCCCCGGAAGAGGAGAAGAGGAAGCACAAGAAGAAGCGCCTGGTGCAGAGCCCCAACTCCTACTTCATGGACGTGAAGTGCCCGGGATGCTACAAAATCACCACCATCTTCAGCCACGCACAGACAGTAGTTCTGTGTGTCAGCTGTTCTACCGTCCTCTGCCAGCCCATGGGAGGAAAAGCAAGGCTTACAGAAGGATGCTCCTTCAGGCGGAAGCAGCACTAAAAGCTCCCTGAATCAAGATGAGTGGGACACTATCCCAATAAACAGATTTTGGATTAAAAAAAAAAAAAAAGAATTGGAAATAAAGGATGTGTTAGACTATGTCTATAATCCATGAGGGAGGGGCACTGGGCAGGACAGCCCCCAGAACTGCTGCTCTAACTACACGGGGCCTCTGTCAGTTCTCTGGGAGGGGTGGGCTCTCCCTTGCCTCCAGGCCTTTCCACAGGCTGTTACCTCCACTTGGAGCCTTCTCTCCACTTTTGCCTTTTTTTTTTTTTTTTTAAGATTTTATTTATTTGACAGAGAGATATAGAGCATGCGGACAAGAAGGCGAGAGGCTGAGCGAGAGGGAGAAACAGACTCCCTGCAGAGCAGGGAGCCCAACACAGGGTTCCATACCAGGACCCTGAGATCACGAAGAGAGCTGAAGGCAGACACTTAACCAACTGAGCCACCCACGTGCCCTTTACCAAATTCTGACTTGATCTTCAGGCCTGAGCTCTGCTCTGGGAGATGATTCCAGGCCCCCAGGCCCAACCTAGCATCTCTTCCCTGTGCTCCCACGGCCCCTGGCTGCCCTCAGCATTGGGTTGGCAAACTATTGCTCCTGGAGCCCATCTTTGTTGGCCTGAGCAGATTCCACGGAACAGGCCATTTAAGGAACCCAGACATCAGTGTCTAACTTCCCTCTGCTCCTGCCGTGAAAGGAGGTGTGGTACTTACTGCTTTGGGGGCCACATACGACCCTGACAGCGTGCCCACGCCACTTGTCAGGTCGAAGAGGTCACTCAGGCCACTGCCCATGGTTGCTCCTAGGTTGGCTGGGACTGCTCCTGCTGGGGGTGCCACAAAGTTGGGGCCCCCGATCTGGAAAGGAAGGGAAAGGGGTCAGAGGCAGGCTTTAGAGGTGGGGACATCAGGGGCCCAGCATGAGAGGCGCAACCTGGCACTCTAGAAAATGGGACGGGGCAGGAGGGGGGCTGCAGGGCTGCTGTCCATACCAACTCTAATTGCAGAGACAAGACAGGGTGAGGGGAATAGAGAAGAGAGATTGTGCCTTCCCATGACCTGCAAGCCTCCAGCCTAAAGAGTGACCTCTGGGAAAGGGCTTGGGATACTCATAAACTAACCTGCAGCCCACAGATAAAAGGAGTACCCAAGACCACTGCTGTGAGGCTAAGTGGACAGAAACACACTCTCCAGGATGTCACGGAGAGCCCTTGGAAACTGAGAGTGCGGCTGATCCACAGGGTGACAAGGCAACTTTGTCTCAGGGTACTGAGGATGGGACACTAGACAGAAGGCCACAGCTCAGCAAGGAAGGACTGCTTTGACATCATCCACCCCTTGGGATGCTGGGCCAGCACTCAGGAATAGCAGGGACAAAGGCTTGATGGCACAAGGGTTGAACCGTACCCCTTCAGGCTCATCCCCCATCTCCAAGCAGAAGCAGGCAGGGTGAAGAGAACAGGCAGCCACATGCAGAGAGAAAAGCCAGGAAAGAAGACAGAGAGACAAGAGAGAGAGGGAAAGAGGGAAAAGATTAGTCACTGTTGCTCCATTGAGAGGAGTCTGAGGCAAGACAGTGCCAGGCTTAAGAGGGGGCCCAGGCTATCTCTATGAAGGACACTGCTTTTGGGGCTTCACTCTACCACCCACGTCTTCTGGCATGACCCTTCCTACCCTTTCTTGTGTGATGCCTAGGGGACCTGAGCCAGACATGGCCAAGTGACAGGGGCTCTGCTACCCTCTCCTCCCGGCTCTACCAGCTACCTGAAGAAGTCCCAGGAAGATACCCAGTCCAGTCTTACCATACCCTTTCTACAGAGGGGGACTATCCCTGACTTCTCATGGGCCTCTTGGGCCTGTTGGGATGTTGCCCCACGATGGTGCAAGATGGGGGGGGTAAGTGGACACTTGTCTGGCTCCTCTAGCCTTACAGGCCCCAAATCTGTTGGGGCTCAGTGGCTTGGCAAGAGGCTAAGTCCCGTATCTGCCACATACTACGCGCTGTTGGAAGGAAGATCACCTGATCTCTTGACGCCTCAGTTTTCTCCCCTCTAAGTAGGGAGTGACATAGTCACCTTCACAAATAGGTGTACCTGAGGCCCTTGGTTGGTGAATGGCACAGACGGGATGTTCAATGATTGCTTCTCTGAAGGTCATTATCAAGATCATCCAGAGGGGGCCCCAGGACATACCAGGCTGTCAAGGCCTCCACCAAGAAGGTCCACGGCTCCCATCTGCACTGAGGAGGTGGCCAGAGGTGGGCCGCTCACCGGGGGGCCGAGGTCCAGGTTGAGGAGGTCACCCAGTAGGTCACCCTGGGTGGGAATGACATCTGGCTGCTCACCAGAGGGTGCTCCGGCAGGGGCCGTCTCAGGGCTTTCTGTGCTCTCGTTCCTGTGAGGACACAGGAGGGAGAGGGTCAGAGGGCCCTGGGCTGTCTCAGGGAGATCAGAGTCCTCAGTCTGTAGTATCCTCTCCCAGGACAGGCACCTGGGTCTCCTCACTGTTCCAGAAGGGCTGTCTATATGTCCCCTCCCCTTCCCCTTTCCTATGACTGATACATCTTTTTGGTTCTCCAAGAGATCCAGCTTCATGGGGGTGAGTGAAGGGAGAGGCCCTCTGTATTTCCACTACTTAGCACATTCTAAAGACTGATGTCTGTTCTGGAGGACTGGGAACCAAAGCCAAACCAACCACCAGGGGGTGGCAGAGGAGGGTGAGAAGAACAGGGCTCTGGAATTAGAATTGGGGCTGTGACTAGCTATGCTGGTTGTGGGATGCTGCACCAGGCCCTCAAGCTCTCTGTCCTACTGTCCTCGTCTGTTAAATGGGGAGACCTCTTAGAGCTATTGTTAAGGATCAAATGAAATCATCCTGGTATGTAGTAAACATTCATTAAAAAGACATTAGAATGGGGGCACCTGGGTGGCTCAGTAGAATGGGGGTGCCTGTGTGACTCAACTCTTAATTTTAGCTCAAGTCTTAATCTCAGGTTGTGGGATTGATTGAGCTCAACAGGAATCTGCTTGAGAGTCTCTCTCTCGCCCCCTCCACCCCACCCCACCCCACATTTTCTCTCTTTCTATCAAATAAATAAATTGATTAATTATAAAAAAAAGTCACTAGAATGGTAATTTCCTTGATTCCAGCCTTGCCACGGGTTATCGCATCAGGCCTGAGTGCCTGGGTTAATGAACCGCAAAACCAGGTGGGGATGCTCAGCCTAGAGACTGGCCCACTTCACTCACGAGGCAGTGCGAGGTGGCAGGCTCTTGTGCACAACGCCCCGGCCCCCCTCCACAAAGGCGCTGGGAGGCTTATGGTAGACGGAAGCCAGGGTGCCAATATAGCAGATGAGCTCGTCCAGCAGTGTGGGCTCAATGAGGTCTGTCTCTTCAGAGATGAGTGGCTTCTCAGCCAATACCACCTCCTTGGCAGCCACTGGGTCCGTGGAGAGCAGACGCCAGTAGATGTAGCCACGGTCCCGCAAGTCTGGATTATCAGAGTCCTTAAGCAGAAGAGGTGATGAGAAGCCTATTAAACTTGGAACAGAGCAACCAGCTGGAGAGAAGGAAGGAGCCCCTCCCCAAGCCCCATGACCGAGGCATGGTCATAGTGCTGGCCAACAGCAGTGATCCTGAGCAGTCCCACATTACCTGTCCCTAAACATGGCCTGGCTCCTTGATTTCCCACTCTAGCCCAGTGTTAAATAGGCCAGTCCTGCTCCTGTCCCCACTCCTCACTCCTCTCCAAAATCTGTCTTCCCTGTCATACAAACCCTCTGGTTCTCCCAGACCTCCCTCTCCTCTTCTGTTTACAGTCTATCTCAACTTCACCACCTGACCCACTCCATCGTGATTTATCTGTGACTGAGCTCCCTGAGCAGGGATGCTGGATTACTCTAGGCCCAACCCCCCAGTGGTGCCTGTCTTAGGAACAGGACCTTGGCAGGAAGGTCTGGCAGGCTCCTTGGACCCAAGCATCCCCTGTGGAGTGAGAACTGCACAGGGCACAGCATAGAGGCGGGGGCACTGACCTGAGTAGCCAAGCTGAGAACCTGCTGTACCAGTTCCTGGGTCTCTGTCGGCTTCTTCAGGAAAAGTTTCACGATGGCCGTCAGTAGCTGCAGCTGGACCTGTGGGAAGACAGAGAGGTGACAAGAAAGAATAAGCAAGGGCTTCATTTGAGGATAGAAGAAAACAAAATGAGGGCCTCAGAAAGGGGAAAGGCTGTTGTTCAAAGGCCTTGGAAGCTGAGGAGAGCTTTTTCAGGTTTGGAGTAGGTCACAGAATACAGACTAAGGCCTGGGAGCTGGTCATGCTAAGTAGCCTAGACCTTGGCATTACCACTCAGGAAGGAGATAGCCCTATTTGGCAGCCCAACACTAGGGTCCTAGAAACCTGTCAGGGCTCCCAGCCTCATGGTGCCTTAAGGAGTTCGCAGCTTAAAAAGGCAACATATGTATGTAGCTGGTGTGCTTCTTAAAGGGACCATATGTCAACAGCAGAGATGATGCCAGCGAGGCCCCAGGGTCTGGGCCACCAGGCCCAGAGAGGCAGCCTGTCATCAAGGAGCTGGGCTTCTACCAGAAGGTAGGAACCATTCCTGCCCAGCCCTCTCTCAGCCCCCGTATCTCACCCTGCTGCTGCCTTCACCAGATCATGCCCCCTGCTGCCCTCACCTGGCCACCATCTTCTCATCCCTTAGGGCTCATGCTGTCCCCAGCACCCCCACACTTCTGCACCCCCTCATCAGCACTGCCCCACAGTATTAGAAATGCTTTCCAGCCATCAGGCTGTCCTGTGGAGACAGCCCTTTGAGAGCAGAGATGATGACTGTATCTCTGGTTATTGCTCTACTGAGTGTCTAGTGCATAGCAAGCACTTAAGAAATGGTCCATGTCAGGAATCAAGCAATCCAGAGTCCTTATGATTTGGTTACATATGGGCCAACAGTAGAGGAGCAGTGGGCTGCCAAGGTAGGAGGTAGCCCAGGAACAGGCTTCTAGGACTTGGCTACAGCCCCTGGCCAGGTAGTCCAGGGGAAGCCATTTATCCTCATTTGGTGGGGAGATGGGTGCCTGCTTCAGGGGATTCTCATGAACTCTGAAAATCACAATTTATGACAGCTGATTTTTTTAAAGACTTTATTTATTTATTCATGATAGACATAGAGAGAGGAGAGAGGCAGAGACACAGGCAGAGGGAGAAGCAAGCTCCATGCCAGGAGCCTGACGTGGGACTCGATCCCGGGACTCCAGGATCGCGCCCTGGGCCAAAGGCAGGCACCAAACTGCTGAGCCACCCAGGGATCCCCATATGACAGCTGATTTTGAAGCTAGAGTTACATCACACCTCAGTTTATGACAAAGTCATACAACTTCTCTGATTCCATTTCATTTATAATGTCTATATAAATACCTCACAGGATTAATGGAAGAGTCCATAAAACAAGAAATGTAAAGAACTTATCGTCTATTCTGCTCAATATACAACAGCTGTCACAATGATCATCAATATCACTGCAGCCAGCACATGGGAATTCTTTACCAAGTTCTCCTCAACCTAGGTCAGCTGGCTGCCTGGCATCATTCATCACTGTCAGGTCTGCTACACTGTCTAGGAACTCTGGCCACTAGCGCAACTCCTCCCACCTCTCACCAACACACTGACACCCCCGCATGTTAGCCTGCATGTTTAGGGCAACC